GCAAAAACGTGAGACCCTATCTGAAATTGTATTTAAATACAATTATGTGAGCTTATGGAACCAAAGAAGAGGATCCTAATTCAACCACAGAGGAAGGGTTAGGGAAAACTTCAAGCAGGTAGCAGGGCCTGAGCTGAACCCTATAGCAGACCTGCCAAAGTGAGGGTGATAGGTTAGGACAGGGGAGAAAACATTTAAAGAACGGAAACTCATTTTGGCTGAACAAAGATGTAGAGGCTGGAGACACTAAGGCAAATATGGGGAATTGTTAGCAGTTCAATAATTTTAAGACTAGAGAGGTGTGGGAAATGAAGCTGGAGTAGATGGAGCCAGATCATGGGGGACCCTGAATGTCATACCAAGAGTCTTGAACTTAATTTTCCAGACAGCTGGGAGCAGTGAAGATTTTAAAAAGAAGTGTCATCTAGTCAGACTTACAGTTTTGAGAAACCAACCAGGTGTGGAGTCTGTTTTTTGATGGGTAGGAACAAGCCTACAAGCTTGTAGGAAATGAGGAAATAAATCAGGTGACAGATAATAAAGACTGGAACTAGATACTTGGTCATGAAGATGGAAAGGAGAGTAATTGAAGATATGTGCGAAGGGCAGACTGGCAGGCCTGGTGTATCAACAGATTGTGGGAAGTGAAAGAGAAACAGAAAAGCAGGATAGCTCCTGCTTTCTAGATGCTTGGATGTAGATGGGGTGTGACCAAATGTTTCTGAGAAAACCAGATGGATGTGTCCAATGGACAGTTGAATATTGAAGGTCAAGGAAGAGTTCTGAACTAGAAATGTAGATTTGGGAGTCTCAGTTGAAGAGGAGATATTTAAAATCATGAGACTGAGTGATTTTCTCCAGGGAAGTTTGTCAACACTGAACAAAGATGGAATCCTATGGATAATAACATCCTTGAGGTAGGCTGAGAAAAAGCTCATGAAGACATGGTTAAATAATGTCAGAAAGTGAAAGGAAAACAGGACATGGTGATACCTGCCTGTGATCCCAGCACTCAGGAGGTTGGGCTCCATAGCATGACCCTGTCTCAGAGAAAGAGGAGAATAAGAACTTACAGAGTGTTTGGCACAGAGTAAATTTGAATTGAAGGAGAGATGAATCAACATTGTCAAAATGCAGCATAGATTTCCTGGAAAAATGGTCCACTGGACTTGTCAATAACAATGTCTCATAAAGAGGAGTTTCAGGAGGGTGGAACCAGAAACCAGACTGGACAATGGGGTTAAGGCATTATCATACTTTCAGGATCTTGAAGTAAGGAAGGCAAAAAACAGCTTAGGTGTCTTGCCTTCTCACTCAGATGTCTCTGAACACCTTGAGAGAAAGGTTTAGAAACGTAACATGTAATTCTAATTCAGTTAATAATATTTAGATAAGTGGATCAGAACTAATAAAATAGCACTGAACCTTTTTTACTAAGTCACTTTTCCTTGACCATTTTTTTCCCTTAAATTATTTCCTTCCAGTCTACTGAATGCTGGGAACTGTTCAGGTACTAGGAAGCTTCCTACAGACATCTCCATGTCCCATTTTGAGAAATCGGGCTCAAGCCATTTCCTGCTTTGGTCATTAAACAAATAATAATAGCTGTTGTTTGCATAGCAATCAGAACCCCCAAGAAATGCTGTGTATATTAAATCTAAGCCATGTTATTGTTATAATCACTAGTATTAGAATAACAAGGTTGTGACCTTGTTCATCTCTAAAAAATTTAATGTTGTTAAGCAAAGTTGTAACAGAGGGAGACTGGGATTTCAGAATCAAAGGTTGAACTTTGTACTCTGTGGGTGCTCCTGAAATAGTCATTAAGTGACTAATCGGTTATTTCTTGGGCCCTAACACAAATGAAATGGTTGCCCAGGTAGGCATATGTTAAGAAGTAAGCTCATGCCAAAGACTGATCTCAAGGGCTCTCAGGGAAACCTCAGTGATATTCATGCTGCCCCTATAAAACTATCTTACACATGCTAAAGTCCCTTATGAATATGAAAGAAAAAATTATAATTATCAAGACAATAAAATAAAACAATTGTCTTATTTGGATACTGTTTCTGATAAGTTTGCTAGAAATCTGTTCTGAGAAAGATTTTGAGTTTTATGGGATAGAAATTCCATTATGGTATAGGGAAGCTTCTAAGCTTTCCCAGGTTACAGGCTGTTGCATCAGGATAAAGTCTTAAGATGATTCATGCTTCCTTCTGAAATCTTAGGGTTTTGCTCACTTAGTTTTTCCCTTTCCTTATTGCATTTCTCATTTTTGATGGCCTAATCTTTCATTATTAGTACTGTAGCCATAAAAAAGATAATGATTCATTCCAAAACATATATAAAGAAAAGCTCATTATTAAGATCTCTGGGAGTCTAAGACATGCTTGAAGTATAATCCTTAAAGATTTTTCAATTAGGTGGTAGAAATATGAAATACAAAATGGAATAAAAGATTACATACTAAGGACTGGGGATGTAGTTCAGTAGTAGAGTGCTTGCCTAGCATGTGCAAGGCCCTGGGTTCAATCACCAGCCCACAGGAAAAAAAAATTACACAGCAATGCTAACATGAACAAGAAAGTACAGTTATCTCTTTGATATAACAATTGCAATTCATTTGGATATATACTCAGAAGTATGGGATAGCCAAATGATCATATGGTAATTCTGTTAAGTTTCATGAGAAACTGCCATAACTATTCTGCAAATTCCATGTATATAACTTGTCTTTTTGATAATATCTATTCTAACAGGTATAAGATGATATCTTGTTGTAGTTTTAATTTACATTTCAATGATGATTTAATGATGTTGAGTACCTGTTCATATATCTGTTAGTTATTTATATGTATTCTTTAGGAAAATGTCTGCTCAACTCCTTCGCTTATATTTTAATCAGGTTTTCATTATTATTATTTTTAGTATTGAGTTTTTTTGAGTTTTTATATTTCCATGTTTATTATAGCAAAGATATAGGAGCAATCTAATGGATGAATGGATAAAAATGACACACACTGGTATGTAAGCAGATACACCCAATAGAATACCATACAGCCTTAGAAAGAAGGAAATTCTGTCATTTATGATAACATAGGTGGAGCTGGAGAACATTATGCTAAGTGAAATAAGCCATTATAGATAAATACTGTATGATCTCACTTGAATGTGAAATTTTTTATAGTTGATCTTATGGAATCAGGGTAAAAAGGTAGTTACTAGAGGTTTGGGAGAGTGGGGGGAACAGCGGGGAGAAAGGGAAATTCTGGTCAAAGAGCAAGTACAAAGTTTCAGTTAGACTGGAGGAATACGTTTTAGTGACCTATAGCACTGCATGGTGTCTGCAGTTAATAATGGACATTTTGAAATTGCTAATAGGTTTTTTTTCAATATCCTTACCACAAAAAAGAAAGTTGATGAGGTGGTGGATATTTTAATTTGATTTAATCTTTCTATAACGTATATGTTGATCAAAACACCATATTTTACCCCATAACTACACAAAATAATAATAAAAAGATTACATTGTAAGTTCCATGGGTATCCTCCACAAGTAGGTACTGGGCCTTATGCATTTGACACTTCCAATGTCAAGCTTGGTCTGACACAAAGTTTATAGAATTGAAATTCATTTAGCGTCTGGAATTGGATCAAGAGGAAACCAGCCAACTTAGAAGTGGGAGAATATGACCTGGGTCTGGTCCTAGAAAGGAGAAGTGGGAACTGTATAGAGGTACAGTGAAAAATGTTCCAGATAAACAGGGAAACTGTATTGATGTGTATATGTGGCATGTTACAGAGGACAGAATCAGAGCTTCTCAGGCTCACCAGGATCTCAGTTGGGTTGGTGACTTTTTTCTACATGTCAGTCCACTTGATCGTGATGGGCAGGCTTTACAGTAAGATACTTCAGAATTTAATTTTTACTTCTGTTAAAAATGTATATAAACTTTCTATGCTTATTTTCTTAGCTAGAATACAGGAATAATGCTTATTTGGTGTCTAGCATATTCTAAACTACTTTATTAAATAATGGTTTAAAAAACACCAACCCCCCCCCACTCCTAATTTGAAATATTTTTCTTTTCTTTTCTTCCTTCTTTCTATCTTTTCTCCTCTCTTTCTTGTCAGTGCCAGGGATAGAACTCAAGCCTCACCACATGGCATGCGTTCTACCACTGTACTATAAACCCCTAGCCCAAAATTAACTTTCAATGTACCAGATATTGAAAAGCTTCCAGTTTCACCTTGAAATTTTCTTCTCAAAATAAAGAAACTAGTCCCATGGTGGACTGTTTAAAGACCAGGACTAGGAAAATAGTCTAGGATGGGGCTCTATAATTGCCCAGTGCCCAGTCCTTCCTCCACCTCTCTCCCCTGTGTTTCAACCTCTGAAATGAGAGGGTGTGCTTGGCTCAAGCCCATCAATACAGGTGGCACTAGCCACGTTGGGCTATGAAATGTGCCTCATTTGTACAAATACAGAGTGGATCTCAACAGCAAAAAAAATTAATTGTGGGCTGATGGAGTGGCTCACGTGATAAGAGTGCCTGCCAAGCAAGTTTGAGGCCCTGAGTTCAAACCCCCGTGCTGCCTCCCCCAAAAGTTAAATGCTTATATATTATATGAAGTGAATATTAATTCCATGCTGAAATAGTATTTTGCACAAACTGGATTACACCAAATCCATGTGAAAAACAGATTTCAGATTTCACCTATTTCTTTTCGCTCTTTTGGCCTGCCTAGTAGAACATCTAAATTCCACAAGCACCCTGGCTCCAGAGGCTCTCTCACGTCCCCTTCAGCTTTAAGACTGGACATGTAATTGGCGCGGTAGCTTTCCTAGCTTTGGAATACGGAAGGCTGGGCGGCGGGGAGCGGGGCGCGCGGGGGCTAGGGGCTCGCGCGCGGGGCGGGGCGTGGCGGCGCGCGGGCGGGGCGTGGCGGCGCGGGGGGCTGGCCAGCAGGATCGTGCGTCAGCCTCCTGCGGCGGGCAGGAAGCGGGCCGAAGCCCGGGGCGCCGGCGCGGGTGCCGCCGCACGTCCGCAGGCTCGGCGGGGAGGTGGCGGCCGCTGAGAGGCGGGCAGGCGAGCGGAGGGCGGGCCAGGGAGGAGGCGCCTGGAGGTGGGGCGCGGTGGGGCGGCCCGCGCGGGCTTCATTTGGGGGGCGCGCGGCCTGCGCCCGAGAACCGCGCACTGGGAGGTGCGGGCGGCGATGGGCCGCGGATGGGGCTTCCTCGTCGGCCTCCTGGTTGGCGCCGTGTGGCTGCTGCGCTCGGGTCTCGGGGAGCAGCAGCCGCCGGAGACGGCGGCGCAGCGGTGCTTTTGCCAGGTGAGTAGTGTGCGCGCCCAGAGGTGCCGAGGTCCCCGCGCTCCGGCAGGTGAGGGGCTGGGGTGCGTCATCATATCTCTTCGGCCCGGAAGGGGACCTTGGGCTTCATGGCCAGGGTCGGAGTCCTCAGCAGCTCGCCCAGGCAGGCGAGGACCGGTCCTCCGTCGCAGCCTGGACGTGGACGCGTCCTCCTCACTCCCTGGCGCTGGGGACCAGCAAGGGGTGTGGGTGTTTGGCCACAGTGTGCTTACGCACCTCCAGTGGCCTTCCATGCCCGAGGGACGCCGTGCGGACACTGCACCCACACTGCAGTCACGGTTTCTACAACTTGACATGGAACTTGGGTGCCCCGTGCCGGTGCTGTGTTTTGCCAGCCTTCCTGGCTAGGAACGGGTTTGGTAGGCGGACGAGCTGCTCCCCAGATCTCCTTGTCAAGCGGGACAGTGGCTTTGTGTAGCTGTTTCTGTATCCATGCCCAAGAGCTTGGTGTCTTTGGGGCTGTGACCCCTCTTTCTGTGTGTGCTTTCTTTTCTTGAATGTCATGATGCTTTACACGGACATCCATTCAGATGGTCTGATGGGAGGGTGGTTCTTACTCCTTATACAGGAGTTTGATAACAAGCTTATTTCCTACTGTGAGTAAGATGTGGATTCCCTGAGAAAAGGTCAAAGAAACGTAATTTTCCTGTATCTCAATATGTAGTATTTTTGTATCATTACTCTTTTTTTTTTGAGACTATAGCATGTTAATTTTGTATGAGGTCATTTATTGAATAAGACAAATTGAAGCTACTGAATTTCATTTGGCAGTCATCAGAAAATGCCAACAAATAGCTTAGAATCATACAGCATCTCAAATCAATTTATGTACTATCCTATTCTATAGGAGATATCTTTAGGCAGTGCATTCTTACAACTTTCACTGTAACAACTTTCTTGAGTATTCTATCAGGTTTAGGTTTTTTGTTGTTGCTATTGTTTTTTGTTTTGTTTTGTTTTGTTTTTTCCAGTCAAGGTCTCTGTATCTCTCAGGTTGACCTCAAATTTGTGATTCTTCTGCCTCAGCCTCCTGAATTTTAGGTGTGCACTACCAGGCTTTGCTCTGTTTTTTTCTTTTTTAAAGCCACCTTTTGGTGGATTTCTGTCTATAAACATTACATTTTAAGCTGGGCATGGTGGTGTACACCTATAATTCCAAGTACTTGGGAGGCAGAAACAGGAGGATCCTGAGTTCAAGACCAGCCTGAACAAAATTAGAACTCTGTCTCAAAAACAAAATACAAGCCAGGCGCGGGAATCTCATGCCTGTAATCCTAGCTACTCAGGAGGCAGACATCAGGAGGATTGTGGTTCAAAACCAGCCCAGGCATATAGTTCCTGAGACCCTATCTCAAAAAAAAAAAAAAAACCCCTTCACAAAAAAGGGCCGGTGGAGTGGCTCAAAGTGTAGGCCATGAGTTCAAACCCCCCACCCCAAAAAAAAATCACAAAAAAGGACTGAAGGAGTGGCTCAAGCAGTAAGAGCACCTGCCTAGAGAGCATGAGGCCCTGAGTTCAAACTTCAGTGCCCCCTAAAGCAAACAAAATACAAGCAAAAGGACTGGAGGCGTGGCCCAAGTGGTAGAGCTCTTGGACGGTCTAGGTTCATTCCTTAGTGATACGCACCTAAAACGTGAGGGTGTAGATGTCAGAATTAATGATTTTAAGTGGATTTTACTACTTCTGATTGGAAGTAACATTTATGTGTGACGGGCGTGATAGTGTCTCATGGAGGAAAGAAACACGTCCACACATTAAGAGAGAAAGGTGTCATCTCTTTCAGGACGGTATTTTATTTTTTTGGTAAGCATGCTCTATGGCTAAACTACATCCCCAATTACTCTTGATTTTGTTGTTTTGCTGAGTGTTTCGGAGTTAAGGTGATGTTGTCTCGGAACCTGTAATGGAAGCTGCTTAACAAGTGAGTCACTGGAAGCCACTTTGCTTTCAGTGGTGCAAACAGCCTACCATCAAGTACTTAAAAGAAAAAAGGATCATTTTTATTCTAATTACAAATATTATGTACACAAAATTTAAACATCTAGAAATAGGTATAGAGGATCCTGGCTTTGCACAGGTCTGGGCCCCCCCTCCCCCAAGGAAAACCGCGCATGCGCAGGATGCTCCGCGCGTTGCGCTGCGGATGCTTAAGTCATTTTTTCCATTAAAGACAGGCCGCCTTTCAACACACCTCAAACTTTTCACTTGCTCAAGTACATTCACTTCTATCTTACCTTTTGGGTGCCATTTGTTTTTTGGGGAGAGGAATACTGAATTTTCACAAAATTAAGACAGGGAAGCACTTAGCAGAGCACACACAATTTTAACATAAGTAACCACAATGCAGGACTAAGGGCTTCTCTACATCCACTGAGTTAGTTGCATCACGAGCGTGGGAGTTTAAAAGTTTTGTTTTTGAAATTTCTTTTGTTTTTCAAATAGTAAAAAATTTAAAGTTTTGTTCTGGCTGCACATGGTCGGAAGTGCATGTAATAAATCTGTGAATGAGGCGGGCTGAAACGCGAGATAGAAATACATGTTCTGAAAGTAACATTCAATGCCCAGGCAGGCCGAGTAACGTTTTCAGCTACATGCCGGGAGTTCAGATACGAAGTAAAAGTACTGCTTGACTTTCACTTTTTCCCCCTGGGTAACTTTTCTAGAAATTTGTTTAAAATTGGAGAGCTTTTAATTTTTTGTGTTTCCCCTGATTAGTGGTTAAGTTTTCTTTTCCTCTTTCACAATATCCTTAGATTTAAATACTCTCCCAACACAAAAAAAGAAAAAGGCCCTTTTCTTTTCCTTTTAGAACATGAGGGCTAAATGCTTTTGTCTTCAGCATCAACTTTAAAGAATTGTGAACTAGCTGGGCATGGTGGTATCTTCCTGAAATCCCACCACTCAGGAGGCTTTTCTCCTGCTTCAGCAGCCTGCACAACTTAGAGACTGTCAAAAAAGGAAGGAAGGGTTGGGGGGAGAAAGGGAGGAGGGAGGAAGGAGAGCTGGGTAAGTATACTGAGAGTCTCAGTAAAAACACAATTTCAAGATAAAGTTAGTGTTCAATTTAATAAATGAAACAAGAGTGTATATTAGTTCTCTTCTGACCAGTAATAAAAAAAAAGGTGAGGGAAGAAGTGAGGAGAAAGGTCAGTAATGAATAGACATACAGAGATAGAGACAGATAAACAAGTACAGACAATCAGGATGAGGAAAGAGAGAGTGAGTGAGTGAGCAGAGGTCATTCTACATACATACAGAGACCCTGTCTCAAAAAGAAAAAGAAAAACCACCACTAACACAAAAATAGTTTTATATTTTTCCCTTCCTGTTGCCTGTCCTTCTTACCATTTCTGCCTTTGGGTTACCACACCCTACCACTCATCATACTGTTGTATGGGTGCATGGTTTACAGTTGGGGTTCAGTACACAGGATATCATCTCTGAGCTGAGTCAGCAGTATGTTGGTGTTCAACTTACAAAGTCATTGCAGTAAAATGTACAGAGCTTTACAAGTAATTAGATCAAATTCAGTCAGCATTTGTTGAGGTCTATTGTCAATAAGTTTTGAGAGATCAAAAAATGAGTTAAACATGCTTCTTACACTCCAGAGTATTGAAACTTGTACATAATTGGTGCTCAGCAAATGTTAAGGAAATTATAGTACAAGATGAACAAAAATTATTTTGCATGTTTTCTGAAATTGGTCTTTCAGATGGGTTGATGGCTCCAAATGAATCTTTGAATTTGGTCAAGTACTATACATGCTTGTTGACATCAAATTGTACTAAAACTTTTTACTATATATTGTAAGTTCTCTTTATAATAGTGCTTCAGTGTTAGTTGCTCAAAATAAATGATTAATTGTCCAGGACTTGTACATCTTCCTTATGTTCAACCCCTTGGCTCTTATCCCCATTTGAGTGTGTAAGTCTATAGTTTGAGTAAGCAACTGTAACCAGGAACCACCCTTTATTTAAACCAAAACACTATTTGTTGTAGTAGGTATGGGCTTAAAGCAAATGAAGACCTTTATGTTTCCTTTTTTGACAATTATTGCCTCATTATGCATCAGTAGAGAGAATGAATGTAACAGAACTTATGTCCCAATCCATGGACTCCTAGGATGTATTTTAAAGAAATAACCTCAGAAGAAATACTGAAGCCCAGATATGGAGGCAGTATGAACACCTTTTGCATTTAAACTAATTAAAAATGAGTATAAATGCCTATGCATCAAAATATTTTTACCAATGTTTATCTGGGGAGTGCTAACAGCACTTAGAAGGACTCAAGTGTGGTAGATCCCCATAAGGCTGATGAAAGGGGAGAGCTCAGATACGCTAAAATGGCTTCTCCAAAAATAGATTATTTTTAGTTTGGAGTGCATTGTAGATTTATTCTGCAAACATGTATTTTAGCAGATTTTACCTGTCAAGCATCTTGTTAGGTTAGGTCAACTTTAAAAATGGTTTTAATTGTTAGACTGAATGGCTGAGCCATGGGAGAGATACTTGGTAATGTGTTGGGTGGTGGGTGGAAGGAAATAAGCCCAGGATTAAAATCTAGTTAAAGAGGGATCTTTGAAACAGGTTATACTGGAGAGGTCCATTGACTCCAAGTGCCTGCTACATTCCAGGCCTTTTTCAAATAAACCATATTGAAGAAATATTTTCGTAATGGTTGCTAGCCTTCAACAACAATTTGAGGCTTTAGCAAAACTAAGACTTTAAAGCCAGACAAGTGCTTACCACTTGAGCCATGCCTCCAACCCTTTTGCTTTAGGTTATTTTTCAGATAGGGTCTTGAATTTTTGCCCTCCTACCTGTGCCTCCCATGTAGCTGGGATCACAGGTGCAAGCCCAGCTTGCTTGTTGAGATGGGGTTCTCCCTAACTTTTTGCCCAGGATGGCTTCAAACCATGATCTTCTATCTTGCTTCCAAAGTAGCTAGAATTATAGGTG